GACGGCACATAACAACAACAACAACAACAATCTATGCTACAGAAATATTCACATGGGTCATGAAAAAGCATGTACAAGAACATTACTTGGAGCATTTTTCATATTGGAAGCAACCTAAATGTTGTCAGTAGTATATTGAATAAAGAGATCATGGTGTGTCCATCTTATCATGAAATGAATGAGAAAACAGGATGCTCTGAAGTTCATTACATGCATGGTTACATTTCATTTTTTAAAACTGCTGAATAGTATTACATGGAATAGGTTAAGTACACTCTAATTTAACAGCTTCCCTATTAATAGATGTATGTGTATGTGGTCAGCCAGCAATGACCATAACCAGTGTCAACCTGCCCCAGGTGCTTCTACTACCTACCTGGTATTTTCCAAGCCTATTCTTGAGACTGCAGCATGGTAAAACCCAGAACACTGTTACCTATTACAAATGAAAGAAAGGACATGTGGCCAAATCACACTTTTGCCCCTGCTTTGAAAGGACCTGGCCATTTGCTTAAGTGAGAACTTTCCAGAACCTATTCCTTTTTTTTCCAACTAACTTCTTCAAAGCTTCTATAAAAAGAGATTTCTGTCTTTCTCACATTGAACTTTTTGGTATCTTCTCCTGAGTGCCAGGCTTCCTTGCTGTAGCAATCTGTCTTACTCCCAAATAAAATCTCTGTTAAACTTTTTATAGCTTGGCGTCACAATCTGTCATTTAACAATATAAATGTATAGAACATGTGAACAGTGGTTATATCCAGGGAATGGAGTAAATTTGATGGGAAAGGAGGAGTTGAACAGAATTTTCACGTTTAATTCTATATGTACCTATTTGAAACTTCCAAAACAAGAATGTATTCCTACTTTAGTTATAAAATAAAATTTTTGTTTATAGGACTCAGAGCCTCAACCAGATTAAAATAAATTAACTAATAAATCAAAAAAATCTCCCTTTTCCTCCCACTCCTAGCTCAGCATGACCCTTTGCTGACATTCAATGTGATATGAGAATGGAACCTGATGATTCTAGAAACCATCCTCACTTCCTGAAACTGCAGCAAGAATCCTTGTAACAGCTACTCTGAAAATAGGATTTTCACAATTGTATTGAATCTAAAAAGGCCCATAATGGCATCCTTCAGGACCTAATTATGATATGGGGTACTGTACCATGCTCACTGCCGTGGAGTCGGATCCAACTCATAGCGACCCCTCCTTGAGTTTCCGAGGCGTTATCACTACGGAAGTAGATTGCCCAACCTTCCTTCCAAGGAGTGGCTGGTGGGTTTGAACCTCTAGCCTTCTGGTTAGCAGTCAGATGCCTTAGGTGCTGCACCACCAGAACTTCTACCATAGTGATAAGAAAATAGGAGCATTGGATTCCTTGCTTGATATGGGTGTTTTTACATGAGAGGTGATATAAGAGATGTGAGAGATTATTGAATGTACAGTTAACTCTTCCATGGATTATTACTTTTTGGATTCATTGTACTTTCTAAATTCCAAAGGAATCTTTCCCTACTGTTTGATATTCTTCTGAACCCTCTACCCACCTTAAATTGGTATTAGCTTAAGGAATACAAATTAGTTTTCTATCAGCCTAAATAAATACAATTAAAAAGGAAAATCCCTTGAGGCAAAGAATACCTATCAAAGCCAAATATAAACTACTTTTGACCATTCTAATCAGGGAAATAAATGAGAAACCAATGTAATTATCATTTTAATCTCCAGAAAAAAATGTTTTAATGTTTTCTTTTATAGATTTCTCCAGGATTTTATAATCCTAATATTCTTTTGTATTCATTGTAAATCACTCCTATGGGCTGAGCCCATTCCCTTTTGGGAGCTATCAAAGTTGATGAGCTAACCCTAGTCATTCTAAATGTACTTCCTATGCTTTTCAATGTACAAACTTGGTAATTTTATGTATTTTAATTTAATTTTTGTGTGTATCTTCTTTTCACATTGATTTAGCCCCCGTATTTATTATTTTTAACATCACTATGGTGTTTTATAATTATAGCTGCAGTGTCTATGGTGAGTCATGCTCTCCATTAGAAATTTTATACATATTTAATCCTCACAACAACCTATAATATAGATGTAATTACCCTTAATTTATAAATGAGGAATTTGAGGCTGAGAGAAATTGTTAGTGGTGGAGCTAGAATTTAGTAATTTAGAAATAATAGAATATTAGGAACAAGGCTCCCAATTGTCTCACTCCTTAGGCCATCATCTATCCATAATGTAATACATCATGTTGATATATTCTAATTTGCTTAGCTGATCCCTACTGTTAGGCATTTTGAGTTGTTTGGATTTATTGAAGTGATAATAAACTCCAAACCAAACTCAATCCCGTAGAGTCAGATCCTTGGGTTTCCCAGGTGGTATCACTATGGAAGTAGATTGCCCAGTCTTCCTTCCGAGGAGTGGCTGGTGAGTTTGAACCACTAGCCTTCTGGTTAGCATTCAAATGCCTTAGGCACTACGCCACCAGAGCTCCTGACAGTGATAATGCTATCCTTAAAATCTTTTTGTAACTGTGATCATCCCAGTTCCCCACATAGCTTAGTATCTACAGTCACATAAACCAATTGCCGTCAAGTAAACACCAACTCATGATGACATTATGTGTGTCAGAATAAAATTGTGCTCCATAGACTTTTCAATGGCTGATTTTTCAGAGGTAGATTGCCAGGCCTTTCTTCCAAAGTACCTCTAGGTAGACTTGAACTTCCTACCTTTCATTTAAGCAACAAAGCACCTTTCCCATTTACACCACCCTGGGATTCTGCAGAGTCACATCATCCACTGTCCAAAAGTAATTTAAAAAATAAATTCCAATCTTTACTTTGTCTCTCAAAGAAACATCACAGAGGACCCAGTTTAAAATGCATAACAATACACCTCATATTCCCTTCCTTCCTTTCCCAATTCTCTCATACTCTGTCCACCAAACCAAACCAAACTCATTGCCATTGAGCTACATAGAAACAGTTATGTTCTGAATCCCAAAACTCCTCATGAAGCCAAAACTGCACAGCTTTTCTTCTATCTCATTTCACCTCACCCTTGGCTCTTTATTCTGTAGGTCAATTCAACATTTTTGTTTGGGTCCTTCTTCTGGCCCTGCCTCCCAGGTCTTGCCTCTATCTACTCATTCTTCTAATAATCCACCCCAATAGATTTGGGAAATAAGTATTCTTCTGTGGGAGACTGAGTATGGATTGTACAAAAACAGAGATAGGGAAAAATCAGGAAACATTCATACAATAATAAACTTTATTTCTATAATATTTCTAAGAGGTTTTTTTT